TTTGCTTGCATTAGATTGACACTGGGATGCAATTCTAATGGCCCCAGCTGTGATCAGTGGAAGCGATTCGATTCTCTTAATATGGCCAAGCGTTGCTTAAATACCACCCCTATCCTGCCAACCTTCACTAACTTGCCTTCTTCTGAGACTTCAATGCAAAGAAAATTCTCAGACTGGAATCCTTGCTTCAGGGCCTGCCTCTGTGGAATCAAAGCAACAAAGTTATCTTTGGGGAGAGAAATCATGTGGCAAATACCACAGAACTAGACAAAAAGCCACGCCAGGATTCAGGGTGATTTAAAATCCACTTGGCCATTATGTGAGTTCATTAATTTAGAAGAGTATAGTGACAGAAGAGTCAGGAATTATAACTCATCACACATGTTTTCACTGTTAACTATTCTAGAAATCCAGTTCAAAAAAAAAAAAAAAGGGCAAACAACACATCATAGAACAGCTCTCCCACTGAGGAGTTTCCTCAAGGCCTCCTTCATGTCCTTGTTCCTCAAACCATAGACAAATGAATTCATCAACTGAGGGACCACTGTGTACATCACTGAAGCCATTGCAGTCTTCCTGGGGGAGTCAGAAACTGCAGAGCTAATGTACACCCCAAAAGCTGTCCCATAGAACAGGGAGACAACGGACAGGTGAGACCCACAGGTGGAAAAGGCTTTGTGCTTTCCTTCTGCTGATGGCATTCTCAAGACAGAGGACACAATGTGAACGTAAGAGAAAATGATCCCAGAGACAGGAACGCCACCAAATAGGCAAGCTACAACATAGATAACGATGTTATCAACGAAGATATCCGAACAGGCCAGCTTGATGATCTGAGCAAGTTCACAGAAGAAATGGGGGATCTCCAGGGCTGTGCAGAAGGACAGACGCAGCACCATCAGAGTGTGCAGTAGGCCATCCACAAGGCTAACCAACAAGGAAAACAGCATCAGTAGTCCACACAGCCAGGGGTTCATGATGACTGTGTACCTGAGTGGATGGCAGATGGCCACGTAGCGGTCATAGGCCATCACTGCAAGCAGACAATTTTCCAAGCCACCAAAGACTAAGACAAAGCAGACCTGGGTGAGGCAGGCCGTGTAGGTGATGCTCTTATTCTGTGTTAGGATGTTCACCAGCATCTTGGGGATGGTGCTTGAGCTTAAACAGATGTCAGTGAGGGAAAGATTGGCAAGAAAGAAGTACATGGGGGTGTGGAGGTGGGGATCAGAGCTGATGGCCAGGATGATGAGCAGGTTCCCCAGGATGGTGACCAGGTACATGGACAGGAATAGTACAAAGAGGATGGGCTGCAGGTCTGGATCCTCTGTCAGTCCCAGGAGAAGGAATTCTGAAACAGCTGTCTGATTTCTAGCTTCCATGTTGGTGATGAATCTGAAGGGAAAGAAAGAGTCAAGGGCTGGGGTGTGGCTCAGTGGTAGAGCACTGCCCAGCATGCGTGGGTTCAATCCTCAGCACCACGTGAGAATGAAACATTGTGTCCACCTATCACTAAAAAATAAATATTAAAAAAGAAAAGAGTCAAGATATAATGAGATATAAGGACTCCAGTGAATGGAATCTGTTACTGCAGAGAGATTGAGGCAGGAAGAATGAGAGCTGGGTGCATCTTGGTGCTGACCTGTGAGAACGTGCCTGGGAAGAAGACGTTCCACGGGAGCCGAGTGGGCACTGCTTTCTCTTTATCTCACTTATGTTCTTTCTTGTTGCTTCTGCAGGGTGAGATTTTCATAAAACACTGCACTCACTTTCTGACCATTAATTAGGGGGCCCTGTGCTCCCTGATTGGCTCCGAGAGCAAAGAGGTCGAGCATCCTACCTGTACACTGAAGATGGAAGGTGTGTCCTCCAGACGTGCAGACACACTCAGTGAGAGACTGGGATCTTCGTCTTAAGGTTCATCTCTGGGAGGAGGCTCCGGAGGTGCTTCCTGACTGGGGCAGGGCCGTCCAGTGACATCACAGGCCAGCTCCTATTGTCTCCATATCCCTGGGGGCTCAAAATCTAAGGTCTTCATTAAACTAGCTATTTTACTGTCATTCCAATCCCAGGAGTGCATGTCCCCAGAGACCAGGACTTTGGAGGTGGGAAGTTCAGGACGAAGGCTGATTTCCTGACCCCAAGGCCAGGTGTGTTCTTGTTTCTGCACACCTCACACACACCACTTCTACGATACAGAGCTGTGTTCCTTGTGAGTTACAAACTAAGTCACATCTATCTATCACATTTTATCTCAAAATCTGTTGCCCTTTTTAGGTGTGAGAATGTCTTACAGATTCAGGTATAAATAGTGTCATTTTAAATGTTATCTAAATATTTAAAAATACAGCAACTCAGGCACGTCTTTTCTTAATTATTTGGTGTTGATTGAACATTAATTTTTGTACTTTATATTTAGCATAGTCTGTTTTCTATGATCACAGCTAATGGTTCAAAATACAGACAGACCATGACACCTTGTTTAGAATTTGAAAATATGTCCTTCAACGTTTTCACATATGACTTCATCAAACCAGTTTTCCACGGTCACAATGGCTCCTCCTGGGTTCTGTCTTCTCCACTCCTGTCTTAGGAAGAGACATGGGATTACATTTAGATCCCACCCAGATGGTTTCAATAGTTTTTTTCACAAAAGGAGACTGAGTTGAAATTATGATTTTTCATTTTTAATGAAGAAACATGTTAGTTACTTACTAAATTACCAAAAAAAAAACAAGAGCTATGCAAATGTGTCCATAAACTCAGCACATTTGTTTAGATTTTGGACATCTTTTAAAGGGTGAATGTGTTGTTCATGTTAGTGTTCACTTCAGAGACATTTTTAGTTAAGGGTTTTGATATTTTCATGTGTTATTAACACATTTTACACCATGTTAACTCATTCATATAAATTTCTAATTTTCAAGTAGCTGATTTTTTTTGACAAGATGGCATTGTGATTTTATTTTATTTTATTTTTGGTACTAGGTGTTGAACCTAGGGGCATTCAATCACTGAGCCACATCCCCAGCCCTTTTTATTTTTTAATTTGCAGACAGGGTCTCACTAAGTTGATTAGGGCCTTGCTAAATTAGGCTGATCTCGAACTTGTGATCCTCCTGCCTCAGCCTCCTGAGCCTTTGGGATAACAGGTGTGCACCAATATGTCCTGTTCATTGTGATGTCTTTCTTTACTGTAATAACCCCATCAATATTTACATGCATGAGTCATAGTTAAAATGAACAAAGACATTGATGGGATTAAAAAAGACCATTTTTTCCCCTATGTACTTCACAAAGAGAACAGCAAATATTAAAAGAGGATAATGTTTTACAGGTACCAATAAAGGACTTGAAACACTTTGTCAAGAATAGAAGTAAAAGGGGCCGTGGATGTTTCCCCATAAACAAGAAATATTTCTTCTTTCTAGATATTGCAACCTCAGGGTTCCAGAGGACTAGTTGCTAAGGGCAGAGGTAGAGCTTGCTTTGCTCCAGAATATGGGCTAACCCAAGAGTCAAGCATTGCCTAAACCCATGGCTCTGGACATAGACCACCTTAGAGTTGCAGAAAAATCTCCAAGGAAGAACATAACCAAGCTCGCTATTGACTTGGTGGATGGATTTATGATATGGTGTTCTTCATATCTTCAAATATCCAAACTCAGTAAACTGAATTCAGGAGTAGAGACCCGATTGGTGACGGATAAGGCAACTATGACCCTGACAGATAAGAAATCAGGTCAAAGCCTCATTGTATTGATGGATGGATGGATTGATGCATCATAGTTATACATAATGTTGGAGTTCATTTTGACAGAATTATAAAAGCATAGACTATAATTTGCTCCACTTCAGGCCTCAGTACTCTCTGTCTCCCTTCCCTCCTTCCTCCTTCTCTTCCCCTTCCACTGCTCCACTGGCCTCCCTCCAACTAACTAAAACCTGGTAAAATCAAGCTTTAAAAAAAAAAAACAAAGGGCAAGTCAATCCGGGAAAATCAAAAAAGCAAAAAAGAAAAATTGGGCCAATTCAATTCCCAAGTCCTCCCCTTCCCCCGCCCCCCCTCCCCCCCCCCCAACCCCCTCCCCAACCCCAACGAAAACCCCTCCTTTCAAGGGTTTCCTTCTCCTTTACCCTTGGTTTGCTCAGGTGTCAACATATGAGAAAAACATTTTTGCATTTCTAAGACCAGCCTATTTCACTCAGCATGATGCTCTCCAGCTCCATCCATTTACCAGTAAATGACATAATTCCATTCTTCTTTATGGCTGAGTAAGACTCCATTTCTTTATCTAATCATCTATTGAGGGACACCTAGGCTGGTTTCATAAACTGGCTACTGTGAATCATGTTGCTATAAACATTGGTATGCATAGATCACTGTAGTGTGCTGATTTTAGTTCTTTAGGATGAATACGAAGGAGTGGGATAGCTAGGTCATGTGGTGATTCCATTCCTTGTCTTTTGAGGAATCTCCATACCACTTTTCAGAGTGGTTGTGGTGATTTGCAATCCCACCAACAACATGTAAGAGAACCTTTCTCCCACATCTTCAGCACTTATTATTATTTGTATTTTCATACTTGCCACCAGAACTGGAGCGAGATGAAGTCTTGGTAGAGTTTGGATTGGCATCTTCCTGATTGCCCTCAGGAGATGAACATTTCTTCATGTATTTGTTGGACATTTGCATTTCTTCTTGTGAGAAATGTCTCTGCTCATGTTCATCAAAGCACCACTGACATATGGGCACCCTTCCTTCTGTACTAGGTACCTTTCTTTCAAGGTATCTTTAGAGTCACAACTATACTCACAGATGAAATCAGGAAATCTGACATTGCAATTCAACTCAAAATAAGACATGCATGAACATATCAACATATAAATAGAAGTGGTAATGCACAGAGAGTCCCATAATAATGCAACCCTATAGGGCTCATTCTATTTATTGCTCAGTTAAATTTGAATTTGTTCTTGAACATTATAGGCAGACTTTTCTAATAGATTCTCTGTAATCATAATGGACTAAGCATTTAATCAATATTTTGCTTCCTTTTTAGAATTTTACTGCCAAGTTTTCCGAATTTCATAGTATTGGTGCATGTATGTGCTGGTTCGTGTATACACACACACACACACACACACACACACACACACACACACAGTCACAGAGTAAAACTGTGTCTTGTTTATCCACAATTTTACAGAAAATTCCAAACTATCAGAAAAGAATTAATTTGTGATACAAAGCCATTTTGTGATTGTATATAAAAAACTTGAGGGCTTGTTTGTTACCACACTGAACTAGATATAAATGATTGATGTGTTGAGATCAGTAAGACAAGAGATATTGTTGCAAGAATACATAGTTATCTTATTATTCAAAAAAGAGAGTCCAGGAAAACATTAACTCATGCATGAATGGCTTCTTTAGTGCTGAATTGACATTACAGTGAATGGATGGACTATTTCATAAATCATGCTAAAATAAAAATGAATTTGGATATCTTTCCTCTTATGAAAGACAAATAAATTTCAGGTGGTTTCAGCCTCAATTGCAAAAGAAAAGAGAATAATTTATTTGTTGAGGTGATTAGTCATTTCAATGTCAAGACTTATTGTGTACAGACCAAGAGAGAAAATACTGACAAATTAAAACCTGCTAAAACCAAGCACTTTTGGACATCCATGATATAGTATAAAGCACATGGCAAAGGAGGCACACTCCCCCAAAATAAAATTTTACTATTACAAACTTCAAAGAATTGCTATTCCAAATGCATAAATAATTTGTCTATTTGGAAAAGAAAATGACAGGCAGGTCAATGGAAATATCATAAACATTTATTTAACAAGGGAAGAAAATAAATGGCTCATAATATGTGAGAAGACTCTCAATGCCATAATAAGAAACGTAAATTAATTAATGTTTTACATCCATTAGATTGTCGAGGTAAATATTCTCCAAGTGACGTAAAACACAAGGAATATCTAATTAGAACTTAAATTCATTATACTATTTAGAAATATTCTTCATCCAACCCAAAAGTTACTAAGCAATAGCTAGTAATTTCAAGATGTATGTCAAAATATGTTTATTTCCTCCAGAAGACACAGAGGAGAATATTCACACAGCTTTGATCACAACATAAGAAAAATAGATACCCAAATTACATCCACATCAAAAAGATGTCCCCGACCTTCAAGGTCTCAATACACAACTCAAGCACTGAAAATAGATGGATAACTGCTAAGTGGACAACAGCAGGATTGATGGAGAAGCCCAATGACGAGAAGAACGTGACATGTGATTAATCTATTCATTACCGGCGGTCAACATTGGCACATGATTTCTATTCACTAAACATATTCTCTCTGCCTG